CGCCTTTTTTGAGGAAAGGGTCTGGAACTCGGTCGCATTCTTAAAGCTAGAATGTGCAAATCAGTTGTTCTTTTTGACAACGGCGTGTGCGGTTTCTTTGCTTCGCATTGTCGAGGAAGAGGCACATTGGGTGATACTCTAGTGGACTCCCATTCGATGTGCCGATTATGCAGTTGAAGGTGCTTAAAGTCTTCGCCTCTCTGGATGAGGTGGCAAATTCAGAGTTCGATTCTAGAGCATTAATAAATGGCATCATCAGTCGACATTACCGATCAACACCGTCGGTGAGGTAAACTAAAATCCACTCCGAAGAGGTGGGACTCTCAAAGGCAATAGAGTTGTTACGATCACAAAAGTTGGGGATCCCTTAGCCCCCTCTCGCCCCACCACCACCACCACCACCGGGCGCTTTGGTCTGAGTGACCAGATGAGAGACAAGTGTCCTCATGGGAGTTTCCGCACTCGGAGCTCTCAGGGTACGCTTGTTGTTCGGTGGTTGAGGTGGCAGGTGCTCCCACATCGAATGGTGCAGCACAATTATTGCGGCTTCAAAGCCTTAAAAAACCTCTGCTGAGTCGGAGCACCTTTCGCAATTTGAAACCTAACTGGCGGTGAATAAAAATACTGTTTCTGCTTTAACATCCTTTTGTCTGTTTACAAGCTGACTGATCAGATAGTCAACAACGTGGTTAGGGGAATTCGAAGTAGCCTGTGAAAGCGTGGACAAGGAGTCAAATGTGGCATCGTGATTTTTCGTAGACCTACTGATTAGTACTACTGAAATACGACTTCATCGGCGCTGTGACCTTTAACGATGCTTGTTCTGAAATGGTGCAATCGCGGTTGCCTTCGTCTCCGGCATTGTAAGTGGATCTGTTGCTCGCTCGACGACAAGTACCTTCCATTGCAAGAATTAGTGGCTGGCAGACGTGTCATAACCAACTCTGACTGTTGAAGCCACTTTTGAAGCCTCTTCCCTACCCACGCAGCAGTCGAACTGTGTGAGTGCAAAGATCTTCTCGAATCGTTGGCTTTTTTTTAAAACCATCCAACGCCTCCTCCTCCCTTATGCCGTGCAGCTTGTTTTTGATTTTGCTGTCAAACGCGATTTTTTAAACCCGTAATTTTGGGGTTCCCTTTCCACCTACGCAGCACTATCCACTTTGGACAGACTTGAACATGAACAAAAAATATGTTTACATTTTTTGTTTGAGGGAGAATTTTCGAGTCACATTTTCGAAAAAGAAGTTTGCCTAATCGAAAGTATTGCAACATCTCAAACATCGACAGCATAATATTGTCATTGACAGGTGCGTTAACAAGTCAGAACTGTCCATAGTTATGTCCGGAATAAAAATAGACAAGACAGGCGATCGGTTAACGAATGGAGGAGGAGGAGGAGGTGTGAGAAACGCCTTTATTAAATTACCCATATTCCGTGATCACGTCACGGAGAAAGAAGAAACCTTCCGTCACAACCAACGTTCCACAGTCGCTCTAGCCTCACCTTCTACAGGCAGTGCGAGTAAACAAAATCACACTCCAACACACGCCAGCCGTTTCCGAAGGATGACCTAAGGTGTGTGTGTGTGTGTGTGTGTGTGTGTGTGT